TGACCTCACAATCATTGCAGGGTATTAGATAAACTAAATTGTTTTGTTTTAATGGCTCTACAGGATCCTTTAACCGACACAGCTTGTTTCTAATTGAGTTTGTGGGTTTGAATGCCACTTTTATTCCTGCCTTGTTAAGAATTCTGCGTAAGGCTTCCGAGGTTCCTTCTTTGTATGGAATTATTGTTGATGATTTACATTCCTTATTGTTGGTGTCGTTATTAATATTATTATTATTATCACTATTATTATTACCATTATTATTATTATTGTTATTATTATTATTGTTATCATTATTATTATTATCACTATCTCTGTTATCCTTCTTTATTTTATTTTTACATTTACTTACATATTTCTTGACTAATTTATCCGGGTAATTATTAAGTTTCAAGGCTTCTTTTATGTGTGTCACTTCCTGTCTTAGATTTTCCTTGGTACTACTTAGTTTTTGTGCTCTGTCATTTAAACATTTCACTAATCCTATTTTTACTGACATAGGATGGGATGATCGGAAATCCAAATATCTGTTTGAATGTGTGGGTTTTCTGTAAACACTAGTGTTTAGCTTCCCATCTTCTTTCCTTTTTACGTTGCAATCTAACATTGGAAGTTCCCCTTCCTGACTTTCCAATTCATAAGTGAATTGAATTGCCTCTACCTTCGAGTTGATGTGCTCGAAAAATCTATCTATATCTTGTGTTCTAAGTACAGTGAATGTGTCATCTACATACCTCCACCATACTTTTGGGGTGGGGGTGAACGTTTCAATCGCTATCTTTTCCCACCTATCCATGAATATATCTGCTACCACCGGGGATATTGGTGATCCCATGGCAACTCCCTCAGTTTGTTTGTATATTTTCCCTTGGAATTTAAATACTGTAGAAGTCAGGCAAAGCTGCACTCCCAGCATTATGTCCTCAATTGGCACTTTTGTCCTAAGTTCGAGTTCTTGGTCAGAAATGAGTTCGTTTCTGACTGCCTCTATAGCCATATTTATTGGTATACGTGTATATAAACTGACAATGTCAAAACTAACCATTTTTTCTTCATTATCTAATTTTAAATTATCTAATCTGTGTTTTAGTTCATAAGAATTAGTTAGTCTAGATTTCGAGTGGATTTTTAGGGGATTTAATACCATGGCTAAATATTTAGATAATTCATAGGTAGGTGAATTTCTAAAATCAACTATAGGCCTAATAGGGTATCCTGATTTATGAATTTTAACAACACCATACATTCTACTGGGGTTATTAGTTTTTGGTATTAAATTAAACCACTTAGACTCACCTAGAAACGGCTTCATTCGGCGTATAAGGTCCGCTGTGGATTTCTTAACTTTATTCATAACTGTGTCTATTGATTTATTAATTTCCTCATATGGTCCTGTTTGTATGTGAGTATTTACCTTGTCAAAATAGTCCGATTTGTCTAATACTACTGTTGCGTTCCCTTTGTCTGACTTTGTGATTATTTTATTTTTATTTTCAGTAGTTTTCCACATTATTATTGTGACTATTTTGACAAGGTAAATACTCACATACAAACAGGACCATATGAGGAAATTAATAAATCAATAGACACAGTTATGAATAAAGTTAAGAAATCCACAGCGGACCTTATACGCCGAATGAAGCCGTTTCTAGGTGAGTCTAAGTGGTTTAATTTAATACCAAAAACTAATAACCCCAGTAGAATGTATGGTGTTGTTAAAATTCATAAATCAGGATACCCTATTAGGCCTATAGTTGATTTTAGAAATTCACCTACCTATGAATTATCTAAATATTTAGCCATGGTATTAAATCCCCTAAAAATCCACTCGAAATCTAGACTAACTAATTCTTATGAACTAAAACACAGATTAGATAATTTAAAATTAGATAATGAAGAAAAAATGGTTAGTTTTGACATTGTCAGTTTATATACACGTATACCAATAAATATGGCTATAGAGGCAGTCAGAAACGAACTCATTTCTGACCAAGAACTCGAACTTAGGACAAAAGTGCCAATTGAGGACATAATGCTGGGAGTGCAGCTTTGCCTGACTTCTACAGTATTTAAATTCCAAGGGAAAATATACAAACAAACTGAGGGAGTTGCCATGGGATCACCAATATCCCCGGTGGTAGCAGATATATTCATGGATAGGTGGGAAAAGATAGCGATTGAAACGTTCACCCCCACCCCAAAAGTATGGTGGAGGTATGTAGATGACACATTCACTGTACTTAGAACACAAGATATAGATAGATTTTTCGAGCACATCAACTCGAAGGTAGAGGCAATTCAATTCACTTATGAATTGGAAAGTCAGGAAGGGGAACTTCCAATGTTAGATTGCAACGTAAAAAGGAAAGAAGATGGGAAGCTAAACACTAGTGTTTACAGAAAACCCACACATTCAAACAGATATTTGGATTTCCGATCATCCCATCCTATGTCAGTAAAAATAGGATTAGTGAAATGTTTAAATGACAGAGCACAAAAACTAAGTAGTACCAAGGAAAATCTAAGACAGGAAGTGACACACATAAAAGAAGCCTTGAAACTTAATAATTACCCGGATAAATTAGTCAAGAAATATGTAAGTAAATGTAAAAATAAAATAAAGAAGGATAACAGAGATAGTGATAATAATAATAATGATAACAATAATAATAATAACAATAATAATAATAATGGTAATAATAATAGTGATAATAATAATAATATTAATAACGACACCAACAATAAGGAATGTAAATCATCAACAATAATTCCATACAAAGAAGGAACCTCGGAAGCCTTACGCAGAATTCTTAACAAGGCAGGAATAAAAGTGGCATTCAAACCCACAAACTCAATTAGAAACAAGCTGTGTCGGTTAAAGGATCCTGTAGAGCCATTAAAACAAAACAATTTAGTTTATCTAATACCCTGCAATGATTGTGAGGTCAAATACATAGGTCAAACTAGTAGAACAGGGGCAGTCAGACTAGCCGAACATAAAAACCTAGCTAAATCTAGGTTGGTTGACCCGAATAAGATAAGAAATCTAGAGAGTAGTTCAGCTATAGCACTACATGCAGTTACACACAACCATACAATAGGATGGGATAGGATGACAGTTTTAAAATCTAATGTCACAGGGTATAGGGAGAGATTGATAACAGAAGCTTTGTTTATCGAATCAACCGCAAATACATGTAATAGGAATGATTCAACACCTGTCCCAGATATATGGAAAATTCTACTGCCCATACAACAAATAGGAGAAGACAGAGAAAACTATAAAAATCAAATCTCGAAGTCGTGTGACAAAAATTGATATGATTATGAACAATAAATTGTGTTCGAAACGTCATCCAGTATACAATACTGTTTCACTGTGTGATACATTTAATAATCAAACTAATATGAAATTAATTATAACATATGTAACGATAAGTACGCCCACAGTTGTACATGCGCAATGAACTATAGCTTAAATATATATATATATATATATATATATATGTATATATATATATATGTATTGAGAAAATACGAAATGTAAACTGTCTATTGATGGATTCAGGCAGAAGTATCCTAAGTATGTTAACTATTATATCTAGATTTGTAGGAAGGCTTTTTCTACCCACAGATTAGGTAAGAACTAAGTATTCATTAATATATTCACCGCCATACTCATTAATTATGAGGTTTGTTAAAAAAGCTTCAAGTTCTTCATATCCTATGCACCGCACAGTCCAGCAGGCTTGAAGACAGACGATGAAAACTTACCTTTAACAGCAGAAGATATGCAGCATTACATATTTCCAATAATAATTATTTTCTTAGTATCTCTCATGCACAGCTGAATAAGTAGGACTGAATTGAGATGAAGAGTATTGCATGATAAAGGCAATTTGTATAGCTTGCCAAATAAGGGTAGCTAAACACTCACGTGGTTCGGAAGGGGGGGTCGATCCCCGGCGGAGGTACTCCCAAACCTTGCTTAGCCAATACTAAGTCGGTGGTGGCAGCGAGGTCAGCAGCCCCACCCCACAAAACTTAGACACCACTGTTAATGAAGCTTCACAGCTAGAGCCGGAAGGATCATGTTCCATTTAAAACGCAAAAGGGTAGAAAAACAGACGTGAAACTGTTAACATTTTAGCAGGTTAAAATTAGTTGAATTAAGACCAAGGTGCATAAACGCTGGAACTGATCAGGTTAAACTTTGTAAAAGAGTAACAGATTTTTCTAGTCTTACTATTAGGCGTGCAAGGAGGTAGACGCTGTACGGTTTCAATCCTTACGACATTAAGAGACAATCGTTTGAGGATGTTCCCAATAATACTCAAAATCATTCATTGTTAACCAACACTATAATCAGTCTTACTTTAAGGAAGTTTTCCCTCCCTGGTTGTTTTTAGTTCATTGAAGTATCATTATATAACTGTTTGTTTATTATTTCTGCATAGTCTGTCTAATTATGAGAAAATGAATCGAAGCTGTTCTAATAAATATTGCGAACTGATCTATCCAGTTCCCTGCATATCTGTATCATAATGAAGTTACGATGTTCACATATTTAGTGTTACAGGAGTTGTGGTCATCAATCGAATCTATTCATATGAGATGTACACAGTTAACTCATATTAAAACTTCTTCACTTTCATCCATAAGTTTAATTTTATTATTTATTTATTATTCTATTCCGTTACGTTCCCCCTGGAACATCGGGGGCTTCAAGCTAGAGGCTTGTATTTTCAGTAGCAGCGCTGTTTATTTTTACAGGATGGAGTTTCTAGCCACTTGCCCAACCTTTCACTCTTTACTAGTCATATTACTGGTTCACCGAGGTAAAGTAGTGTGTCTGCGGCCGCGGATTGAGACCCGAACCCCACATGTGGAGTGGTTGGTGAGCATTCTACGACTGCATCGTTGATGCAGTTCAAATAAATATATTCAAAAATACATTGAAACACTTCACCTCTGTCTTTTACATATAACTCAATTATTCTTCATTTAAATAAAGTTAAAGATTCAATATAAGTATAGATTTCATTTGTCAATGTGTAAGCATTAAATTTAAAATTCACAATATAACAGAGAACAGAAAAAATACTCACTGATTTTGTCCGTCTAAATCTAGGTACTTGTGAAACAAATGGTGAAGTTATGGCACTATTTTCTCGAGAATATAAATTATAAGCTCCAGGGGGTGGCACCTGATCCTTTAAAAAAGGGAAATATATACACGTGTGAAAATAATTTGTAATGAACTATGAACTATGTGGTTATTTGAAAGAAAACTCTGTTTCGAACAGATTGTATTACAGAAGAAAATACATGACTTTTTAAATTCTATTTTATAACTTTGCGTTTTGAGTGGAATATAGGGCCTCGGTCTGGGGCTTTGAAGTTTGACTATCAGTGTTTTCTTTTACAAAGTTGGGTTGCTAGCCTTTTTTCTTTGTCAGATTAACAGACAACGTAGAGAGGTAAAATGTGTGCCGGCCAAGGACTGAACTCTAGCTAGACCAACTGCATGGTTGATGGGCATTCTACCGCCGAACCACTAATCTACTGTACACAAGTTTAAGTAGTAAAACACATTGTGAATGATAGTTAGAATTTCTGAATTGTTCGAAAAAGAATGATTTACAGTCTAGACATTATGATGCTCCATGACTCTGTATTCTTGACTTCGAACTCAAATCTGAGTCAGAATTTCACCATAACAGTGGTATCTGATGTATGAAAATGAAGGAGGCATAATTTAATGTCCTATTACATGCACTTTGTAGCTAATGTTTAGTTGATAAATTATCACCAAGTGACCTATAAAGTTTAGGTTTATAGATGAATATTTTCATCATTGTCGAATAGCATAAATTTATTTATAGACAGTAAAAATGTCAGATTGAGTCTGTGACCAACTCACAACACTCTCTAGTGGGAGTTTGAGGCGGCAAAAATGAGAAGGATTAAAAGGAATGATACTCCCCCATTTCTTATACATCTATATATATATATATATATATATATATATATATAGGCTGTTTGTCCAAAATCTGTGATTATTATTTCGTAGGATGGAAAAAAGTGATTTCATCTGATGAATGCGTGGTGAAAATCTCTCTTTTATCACACCGATACTAATCTCACTGCTTGTGTCGATTGAAAATATTGTTTATTGACTAAAATGACTATGAAAACCAATATCAGTTTTCCTAAATAAATTGCAGCAAACAACTGCTCATCAAGCTGTTTTAATGTGTGTAACAGTTTTTCGGGTATATACACATACCATTTTCTGTGCAGTCTCCACTTTTCTGTAATTACCAACTCCATTTCTTTAAACGTTTTAATACGTGAGTCTATTAGGAATTAAAAGGAGCCTAAAATGTTAAAACTGGCTGTTTGCATATTCCTAGAAGAAATTCGTTTTCGTTCCTTCGCCTCTTAAGTGGGACACAGAGATTCAAGTCTTTTCAAGTTTCACTGACGGTGATGAAATTTTAACAGTATGGAGTTTTTTTATCTTCAGGCCTGAGCTTCCCTACTCTGTTTGCTACCAGCCAACAGTGCATCGGTCAGAAATTGAACTCAAACCATGTGTATGGTTGATTCGAATTCCACAGCTAAGCCACCGACCAAGTAGCAGTTAGCATTCACAAATTAACAGTCACCCTAGATATGATGGAGAAGATTTCTAGCTCAGGTGGATTGTTTTGATGTGATTGTGTTCTCTGAGCTGGATAGTTTATTTGCCAAGCTTTGGTCGGCCTACTAGGCAACATCTTCAGCGCATACTTCAATTTGAAGTCGACATCTGGTATATAATAGGCAACACCTTCTATCAGTGAAGATTTCGAATCTTCAATGCAACCTAGACGTCTGTTTTCACGTAGAACATTTACTCCCGAAGTTTATGCAGGTAAGTAAATCTCTAGCAAGTATTTAATACTTTCCAATCTGTTAGTCTGCTGTCACAGGGCTAAAAGTTGTGAAACGAGATATTTTTTTTTCAAAATGCCATGCGTTTTATTTCAAAAAACGAAATTATACCAATTGTCGAATTCAATTTTAGATTTTCCTGTCGATTGATTGGACCGAAGTGTTCGGTCTCAGGTTGATATGTTGGCTTCTTGTACAGAAGCTTCGATGATGTCAAGACATGTAATTAATACACTGATGAATGGTGACTAGCTGTGGAATCCAGGATGCATATTTCTTCCCGTTTGGGACTCGTCGTGTGGGTACACCTGCATTCCCCAGTGAGTGATGATGTTCCCAACGAGGCTCGAATCCAGTGTCTATAGTTTCAAACGCCAAAACGTTATCCACCAGACCACTTGGGCCACGAGAGCCACCTCCTGTGCAATAGGTCATACTAATTGTTTAATTCAGTTTTAGATTTGGTGTTTTATTTTTGATTTACAGCTTGATTCCACACTGTATTTTTGGTACAGTATGGAATTTTCAGCATGGATATCGGTAGCCCAAATTTTGCAGGCCGACCATAGATATCAGGTGTGCGCCGGCGTGGGCTCGAACCCCGGACCATGTGCATGGTCGGCGAGAGTCCTAACCACTGTACCACCGACGCACTGGGTTCCAGCCCCACTGGGAAGATCATCGCAGGTATATGCAGTGATGGATCCCAGCTGAGAAGAAATGCACATCCGAGATCCCACTGTTAGTCATTATCCACCAATTAACTTATCATAATACCAAGCTCTGCGTCTGTATATGTGACTAATCGAAGCCAAGCTTTCCAGAATACTTTAAGTTCATAAATGTAAAAATGTTTCTATTTCCTATCAATGAAGTGAGTTTTCTATTGCTGGCTATTGATATAACACTGTATTAATATCGTTGTCATCACCGACAAAAAAAAAATCCATTTCTCTGTGAACAGTCCAAATTTACGCGATTTCATCGTATTATCAAGCTTCTCAGTCGATTTCTTTTTGTTCTTTTTAAAACTATATAACTCTAATTAATTTTACAGTGTTTTTCCATGTTTCCCTGCTGGTCTCATCATCATTATTGTCATGTCAATAACTGTTACCATAACTACGACTGTCGTCATTATTATTGTTATTTTCGTTATTAAATTTTATTTACCCTTATGTTTTGTATTTTTTTAAGATGCAATAGGGAGAAAAAGCAAGACGCTTATAGACCAGAAAGTTACGTACCCTATTGCATTTCTTTTCCTTATTATTATCACTGTTTTTAACTTAGCTCATGTTCAGATTTAGTTCAGATTTTGTTCAGACCTATCCAATCTCCTCAAATATATATATATATTATGTCATTCAGTTTACTGGTTTGATTATATTTCAGTTTCTAAGTGATTAAGTCTTTCTGTATGAGATAACTGTTATCTAAAATTTAGAGTCTTATTGATACATATGTATAATTTCTAGTTTTGCTCATTGTTATTGTACTGCTCCGCTCATGCTTCGTTGAATCATATCTATCCTACTCTGGAGCGACCTAATCCACTTACTTGCTTTATTCTAAGTACTAGTTATCTAAGTACTCAATAGGTATCCCGTTTCTGTTTAGGATTATCTACAGATTTGCACATCTACCACCTTGACAGTGGACAAGCTGAGGAAACTGAGGTTACTAAGCTAGCCGGTCAGCAGTTTAGCTACTGGATTTGAATCCAATAATCTTCGGAGTCGTTGGAGGTGGGGTGGGGGGGCGTTGTCGCTTCTTAAGAGTGTCAAAAGTGAATAAAACAACTGTCCATAGCCTCTCCGTTTGCATTATCATTGTATTGTTCCCTTAGGTTCCTAGCGGAACATACGGCTTTTACTCCACGTTTCCACTTGCTTCTGTCTTCTGCTGTACTTTTCACCTGCATCCATGTTAGTCCATACTGTTTCAACTCCTATGCACACCATCTCCTCCATGTCACCCACCCTTGAACGTCCCACTGGCCGCTTCCCTTCCGGCCTGGTTCCACTCGAGCAATGGCCTGACGCGTGAGCGATGTCACCCAGCGGCCTCCTCAGTGAGTGTCCAATCTATCTCCACTTTCCCCTGCATATCTCCTGTTGGGCGATTGCTTCTTGTTTTGTTTGTTCCCATAGTTTCTTGTTGGTGATTCTTTCCGGCCCGGCCATCCGATCTTCAGTATAGAGCGGAAACAGTTGTTGATAAAGGTTGATGAATATTTGGAGTACGCCGTTTCCAAATTACTTCGCGGTCAACGCTAACAATCGAAGGCCTTCTCAAAGACTATAAAGTTGAGTTGATTGTCATTTCGCGCTTCGTTCGATGATGATGCGTAGAGTTGCAATTCGGTCAGAACATGATTCGCCTTTCCTGAATCCAGCTTGTTCTGGTCGGAGTTCTGCATCCAGTGCGTCCTCTATTTTCTCCAGGATGATGCGACTCAGCATTTTACTTGGCGTCGATAGAAGCATGATTCCTCGCCAGTTCTTGCAGAATCCTAAATCGCCCTTCTCTGGTAGTTTCATGAGGTAACGTTTCATCCAGTCAGTAGGCACCTTTTCCTCCTTCCAGACCTTTTGCAATAAACAATCCTATTGATATATGGGTATAATTTCTGGTTTTGCTCAATGTTATTATGCTGCTCAACTCATACTCCGTTGAATCCTGTCTGTCCTAATGTAAAGCGACCTAATCCACTTACTGGATTTTTTCTCTTCGATCCATTTGATCAACGTATATTATGCATCTTATTTTGCCTTATCTAATTCAATACCTTAACTTTTATTAGAAATGTTCACCTACATTACCTAATATTATATAAAAAGCTGACAGATTTTATGAAATTCATGCTTTCAGTAAATTCTGCTATTGAAATGGTTTATAAATGTTTAATTTTTTAAGTATTGAATAGCTACCTCATTTCCGTTTAGGATTATCTACAGATGTGCACATCTACCACCTTGACAGTGGACAAGCTGAGGAAACTGAGGTTACTAAGCTAGCCGGTCAGCAGTTTAGCTACTGGATTTGAATCCAATAATCTTCGGAGTCGTTGGAGGTGGGGTTGGGGGGGCGTTGTCGCTTCTTAAGAGTGTCAAAAGTGAATAAAACAACTGTCCATAGCCTCTCCGTCTGTAAATGTTCCCTAAATGATTTTGGTTCTTAAAAAGGGGAAATATGAGATAAACTTTTGCTTGGATGTCGCTTGCTCACATGAAAAGCGGCAGTAAATGAAGTTTACTGTTCCACTGTTGGTAAACTTAGTTCTCAATAATTCAATTAAAAATCTAAAATTCAGTTAATTAATTAATTTGATCAGTTGCACAAGAGGTGGCTCTCGTGGCCCAAGTGGTCTGGTGGATAACGTTTTGGCGTTTGAAACTATGGGCACTGGATTCGAGCCTTGTCGGGAAAATCATCATTCACTGGGGAATACAGGTACATCCAGCTGAAGTGTCATAACTGGCACGAAATTCACATCCACTGCTAATCACCAACCACCAATTTGTACTTTGAACTGATTAAGTGAAAACATGCTGCATTATTTGTTAATTTTTGTTTCTCAATCGTCGTACTTTACTTTCACGTTAAACTATGTGATTTCTCAAGCATCATTTTTACTAATACTCATATCAGACTACTTGTTAACCACAGAACATGTGAATTACATTTTTTTATAGAATAAAATTTTTAACCATGGTAAAGTGTCTGACTTTAGCATACGCTGAAACAGACTCAAGCATGAAATGGCGGTTTCATTTCTCTACTTTTATTTACCAATAATTTCTAAGAAGCACAAAACATGACTGAATGTGAACTTCATATCGATTATCAGATCAAAATGTCGAGAAATGCCTAAAGGAAAATGGATACCCTAAGGAATTTATACAGAAGTATAGCAGAGGAAAACATAAGAAGGAAAAGCATCCAACTGTAAAAAAGAAGAAAGTATTTATTTGTCTCCCATTCAAAGGAGATACAGTGTCACAAAAGATTGACAGAAGACTGAAAGGTGCAATAAATAGAAGCTTCCCGGCAGCAAAACTCATGACATTATACAGCACCACTCCTTCTATAATCCACTCAAAACTGCATAAATACCCTGCTGACGTCACCTCCAACTGCGTTTATGAATTTACGTGCACTTGCGAGAACAAGTATATTGGAAAGACAGAAAGAAGGGCTTCTATCCGGTTTTCTGAACATATTCTAAGAAACCTGTGCCTGAAAGGAAGCAAATATTCTCAGAGTGCAATTATCAGACATAATGTTGATACAGGACATCTTGTAGAGATTTCTAAGTCCTTCAAAATATTAAATAGACAAAGGACAACAAATTTACTACGATTTGCCGGAGCGATCGCAATCAAAACGCTTCAAACCAACCAGACTTATGCATACAGAAAGAGAGTGCGATTAACCTCTCACTCCCCCGGTAACTGAATATTGATTTTGGTTACATTAATAATTAGTCATCTAAATCAGTGATCTCAACTCACTGAACAAATCTTAATCTCATAAATTCTAAACGCCCTTGTTTTTTGTAGTTGCTATGTGAACCTACAAGCTAACACTGTTCTGTTAATCATTTCTCCCCCTCTTTTCAACTTTAAAAGCGTATAGATTTATGACGAAAACTCAAACTAAAAATTGTAATGCTTGGATGCGTCAATTTTATAGTATCTCTTCTCTACTACCACTCAAACATTAAAGTATGTTATTATCATTTATATAACCATTTTAATTTCAGGTAGTCTGCAGCTGATGAGAACCTGTGAAATAGAGCGATGATATCATTTTATACTGTAAATTTTGTCTTCCTTTCTTTATCAAAATCGAAATGTGTAGGCGTAATGCTCTACTAAACTGGAAAAAGATACGATCAGCACTTGGGAATACAACCAGTTACATTGACTACAACTCATATACTGGTTTACCAAAATAAAACACCATAATAAAGGGTAAATATTTATCTATTCAGATCTATAGTAACATGTTTCTCCTTACTTGTTTCACTCTAGTTACAGACCTTGAATTCTTCGACTTGAATGCACTATGGTATGATGGAGACTGAGAATGGTACCTTGAAGTTTCGTTATAGGGATTGTATTGGCCAGGAGCTAGACATAAATCCTGAAGAACACAAATAAAGAAACAAACCGCATTATTTATAAATAACCATCCTAAACACTTCACTTAATCCTCCCCACATGACCATCAAAATTTTACATTCTCACTAAATGTAATATATTGCCAATTCTTACTGGGAATCTCGCCTAATTCATTGATGAAATTGATTTCTTAATCAGTATTGAAAAAAATTCTGGCGATTCGTCTGATACCCACGGTGAAGTTAGGAATTATTGGATAGAGATCCATCTACTGTGACTTCAAATCTTTATATCAGCCTTTCACCCTATTATTATTATAACATAGGGCTTCAGCCGCGCATCTCTATTGCCTTCGGTTTTCTGCCAACTTTTTCACTCCGCTGCAAGTCTCCCCACATGCTTTCATTTCCTTTTCACATCACTTCCTCCAAGTCACCCCGCCATCGCACTGACCACCATCTAGCCGTTTCCCTTCTGGGTTCCACTCGAGCAATGGCTTGTCTAGTGATATCATTTGATGGCTTCTTCAGAGTTTGGCCACCCAATCCATTTCCATTTCTTCCTGCCTATTTGTTTCACAATCATTTCCTGGTTGGTTCGCTCATTGCCAGAGATCCCTGTTGCTGATCTTTTCTGGCCGGCCATCTGATCTTGAGTATTGAGCGAAGACAACTGTTAATGAAGGTCTGAAGTTTGTTTGAGATGCTCTTTATGACGCGCCAAGTCTCTGATTGATATAGTAGCACTGACTCCACACTGGAGTTGAAATTCCGAATGTTATTTTTGATGCTGAGTGCTGTTGACCTCCACACAAACTTAAGAGTAATGAAAGCTTGTCTTACTTTTCCGAATCTGGCTTTGATATCCTCGTCAGTTCCGCCTGTAGTTGAAACGATGCTTCCCAGGTAGGTAGGTAGGTAGGTAAAGGAGGTTGTTTCTTTCAGGTTCCTCTCATTTATGCTGGCTGATTGTTGTCTGTTGTTGTTGCTGTTGGTGTTGACCAGGAATCTTCATCACCTCTGTTTTCTCTATGTTCACTTGAAGTCCTATCTTTGATGCTTCTTCTGCCAGCTTGTTGCTTTTCCCTTGCATATATTCCACTTTGTGGGAAATCAGATATATATCATCGGCGAAGTCCAGATCCTCCAAGTCTTTTGTGTCAGTCCATTTTATGCCTGTTTCCTCATTGCCCGTTGTCTGTCTCATTATCCAATCTACTGCAATCAGGAAGATCATTGGTGATAGTAGGCAGCCAGCATGCCCCACTCCCGTCCTCACTTCGAAGGCTTCCGTTAGTTTCCCGTTAGTTTACTTGGCATGCAGCATTGTCGTATAGCTGTTGGATGAGATGTATAATTGTCGGTGGGACCCCGTAGTAGCGAAGTAGTTGCCAAATCACCTCTCTATCGACGCCGCGCTGTCGAAGGCCTTTTCAAAGTCGATGAAGTTGAGTGAGGTGGAGAGGTGACTGCCATTCCAAGCTTTGTTCAATGATGATTCGTAGAGTGGCGATTTGATCAATATATGATTTGTTTCTCCTGAATCCGGTCGAAGTTTTTCATCCATCCAGACTGGCGTGTTTGATTCTCTCCAGGATGATGCGGATTAGTATTTTGCTTGGGATGCAATGCCTTTCAGCCTAAGGCATTATCAAATATTTCAACCCATCCTACTTCATACATTTTCAATTCAGCCTTAGTGAAGCTATCACGAAAACTGGTAGATAGTGATGCCTATTTATCACGGAGTAAAATATTTTCAACCATGGTCATTTTAAATCGACCGTAGAGAAATGATGCAATAAAACAAATAAGATAACATTTGCCCTCTAAATGTCCTTTTGAAATTTACTAGGCAGACAGGCTTTTAAAGACCACCCCATGTTTAATTTTTATCAGATAACTATGGATACGTTATTGAAGAATGAAAAATCAACTTGGATTAGCCTTAAGATGAAAGACTTCCGTCGTTGAAACTAAAAATAAGAATGAGACACCGATGAGTAATTCTCTTTCTAATCAGATCTTCTTAAAGATTTAACATGCATAACTTTGTATGTACATATGGAATTTTAACCAAAAATCAGTATCTTTGTATCCAGGATAAATGTAAAATGTTTTAAATTATAAAAGTTCAAGGTTTAGAAAAATCTGTTTCGAAGACATGATAGAGAAAGAATTAAATTTATTGCGTGAAAGCCTACTAGACAACTGATATCCACCAAGATTCACAGACAAAAACATAAAAGAGAAGTCTCCGTCGCCAAAAATCGCAACTGTTTCTAAGAAAATACTCTTCATGAACCTGGAATTTAAAGGTCACATCTCAGAGGAAATTCTCAGAAACCGCCTTTCTAAATGTCTGAAGAAGACATTTCCAATAGCCACCTTACGTATCACACTTCCCAGCAGATAGTTAATGCAATTTAACGTTAAGGATAAGATTCCGCAATGCATCTTGTTGACTAAGGGCACACGATATTGACTCTGTCAAATCATTCACTGTTGTCAACAGACAAAGAAACAGGAAGATGTTTTTCTGCATTTGTTGAGGCTTGTGAGATGAGTGTTTATAAACCCGGTCTCTGTGTACAAAAAAGAAATCGTCATCATTGTGAGTCTGTCGTCATAGTATTTATATATATATATATATATATATATATATATAAATCCCTGGATGTAGAGTATTCAGGTGAAGAAGAGTTCTACCGAAATTTCATGAATTTATTAAATCCTGCTTTGTTAATCTTTGTTGCTTGTTTTGAATCGTATTGGTGTTAATGACGCTAAAAATATCTACGTTAACAAAAGTTCAAGTATTATTTGTTTTTAATTAACTTTTGATTTTCTTTTTGACTGCGTGGACCAAAATTTACAACTTCTGTTGCCATGTTGGCTCCCAGTATGGATGCTTTAACGATATCCGAGAATCAAGTGAACTTAATCAAGTGGAATCCAGGATGCACAAATTGTCCTATTTGGAACTCGTTTTCTGAAAGTACTTGCATTATTTGGCTGACGAATCCTAAATACGACAACTTGTCCATCCTGGATTCCACTGCTAGTCGCCATCCACTAGATTAATTCAAAAGTACTAATGGTTGATGCAAGTGGTACTAAGAATTATAAAGAAAGAATGACACTGTATGAGCTCCAGGAAGTAAATAATTTCAATAAGTTATGAAATTAGAATATGCATAATACTGAATTGAATGAGCAATCAAAATTTAAGTGTATATGATGAGAGTATAAAAAAGTGAAGAATGCGAAGGAAATAAGATGTCCAAATGAAAGATTTCTTTATAAAATTCATCTAGACCAAGGAATATAGGAAATTTTAAAACGAACTTCTTTTGTACAAATGGATTAGGATTATTTCTCCTAATTCCCATAGGAACCTATAACTACAAAACATGAGTTGGCACTTCTTTCGAAAGGTTCGATGGAATATGTTATGTAACCATGAAGGTGGTTATTCAGTCCACTTGATGACATCGGCTGAGGGAATTTTGAGCTTCTTATTGATTTCATTTGATTCCTGCATAGTGACGAATGAAGGGGCTTGGCAATTTGCCGGTTAAATTACCTAGTTGTTCTTTTTTACAGTAGTCTTTTCCACATCTACAGCTAAAATGTGAATAAAGGTTATCCACCTAGGTAACTTATCATTTTACTGGGCGAACAATAATTTTTCCTGATATGCTGTTCAACTCATATTTTAATAATTATATGAATGAAATCACCAGCAATGCAGTCCATCTCTCGAGTGGAATCTCAATGGGCAACGACAAGTGTATCATCCGAGGGTTATGTGGAGGAGATTGTTCGAGCAGGAGATGAGATATTATGAGCAATAGTGGGGTCCGCTGAAAAGGACAGCAGAAAATAGGACAAAGTGGAGGTGTGTTGCAGAAGCTCGATGTTCCACTCACAAATCAAGGGAACAAAAACAAAATAATAGTAAAAGAAAACTTTGCATCTGTTTAAAACAAAACTCACTTTATCTTGTCTACCGAATAAAATATCATTGAATTTTCTTGGCATACTTTTAAAAGAATATGAACGTTGACATTGATTCAATCTATTTTATTATAAAGTAATAAATTAAATAAATATGAGGAATAAATATTATGAATGAGTAGAAGGAGGTTAAAGGGAAAGTGAAAACAAAACTGACCAAGGCAAATGAACTTCATTCATTCATTCCTCCACACACACACACATACGCACGCGTGAACTGGCTGCACCTTGTTAACATCAAAGAAAAATCAACATATAGGTAAGCAAAGTACGCAAACAATATCAACATATATCATGACGATGAGATTTTCTCTCGCATTACAGATAACCTGTCAAATATTTTGAATATTTTCTTCTTGATAACTGTAGACAGCAATCGGTATAATCATTGCAGTAATCTAGAATACAGTGTACGTATGTGTGTGGTCTTTCGCTGATTAACCACCCCTTCAATGAGAGAAATATTTAACGTTATACTTTTCTTTTCTTGCTCAACAAAAGTGAATTAATTTTCAAGTAGTATTTTGTAAGCATTCAACTGACTACAGGTTAGATTTCATCATGAACCGATATTAGTCAATAAACTGAATGCCAACATTCACTGGGCAATACGCTAACTTCAACAGTTGGGTACCTTTAGGGAGAAAGAGAAATCTTATTCATTACGTATGCTCCAGAACCCGTAAAATCTGCTCTACAGAGACAATCGATAGTGAACTTGGTAACCCTCGATCAAATCTCCTTAACAATAGTTATCCTACAAGGTTTATTGAACATAACATCAAGAAAGAATCCACCCCCAGACAAATCACAGAGCTAAGGAAAAAACTGTTTATAAAGTCTGGCATTCAAAGGTGACACCATTTCGGAATTGATTAAAAATTGTTTATCTAAATGTATTAAACGCACTTTTCCTGCAGTTGACTTAACAGCCGAAATATGATTAGACAGTGCGTCAAGGATAGATTACCGCTTATGTCCACATCTATGTGCATTTACTGTTTTACCTGCTCCTGTGGAGCTGATTATATTGAACGTTGTAAGCGTAATCTCCGAAAACGTGTAGCTGAACACCATCAGGTTTGGTTAATGTAAGGCGAACGTAGAACTACGAAGTCGTCTATTTGTGATCACCTGTTAAAGTCTGGTCATTTAGCCCCACGTGATTTATCCTTCAAAGTTATCTACACGGCAAAGTCGAATCGATCCAAAAGTTTACGTTTTCTTCACTTATGCATAGCCGAAGCTTTAGCTATGCATGAACAGAAACCTGAATTATGCGTTCAAAAACGTTTTGTGAAACTCCTTTCTTTACCTTGGTCATAGTAATGTTATTTCTAGTTTTTATTTTATTTTACCACTTGAATTCATTCTACTTCACTTCACATCTTTATTTGTATTGTAATCATACTCTTAATTTCTAAACTTTTTAGACAATACTTGACATTTTTAAAACATTTTGGGTATCAATTCACTTGTAAAACAATCTTTAATAATTTTGTAAGCCATCCACTTCAACTCTACCTCTTTTAACATTTTAATTATCGTTAATCATATCACTAATATATGTAAATCGACTGAGAGATTATTTAGTGCCACATAATAACATTTTTTCTGCAATATAATTTCGACTGTACAGCTTGAAAATGAAGTGGTTGAAAAGAAATTTCTTCACTGAACAAAAAAGACAACTGTGTTTCTACTTATGAATAAATGGGAATTTTTCGTGATTTAAAACCATTGGTAACCAGCTTTTTCCACATAGCTCGGGATTCTCTTCAGTATGTATACCTCTATGAAAACGCTAAAGATCAAATACAGGAAGTTTAAGCTATGAAGTGAACACAAAAACAATCAGTATTTGGGACAGCATACAACGGCCTATGAATTCTAATTTCTAACAATTCATCATATAGTATATTGTCACAATCGGCCAATTTGATGGATTTTTATATCATGTATTTTCCTCTAAATACCATCAAGTTCTCCTCGCTGGATGAATGATTATGCTTATATATATATATATATATATATATATATATATATATCGCCACAAGGATGGTATGGCTATGGGCTCACCACTAGGCCCATTGCTAGCAGATTTATTCATGGAAAAACTTGAAAACCCATGTCTGAAGAAAATGGTTGATACCTTCGAATTCTACAAGAGTTACATCGACGACACTATGATTATCATCAACAATGAAGAAAATCTAAACAACCTCTTAAATTCATTTACCAACTGCCACCCTGCGATTCACTTCACATTAGAGAAAGAGTCTAACTCAAAAACATCCTTTCTTGACGTTCAGCTAACAAGACGAGAACAGGATGGAACACTGAAAAGATCTACCCACTGAAAGTCAACTTGGAACAGGCAGCCTACTAACTTTCACATCTGGGTACCTTTATGCACTAAATGAAACCTGATCCGTTCACTCAGCTACAGAGTTTGGAGAATTCCCACCCCGGATACCATGGAAGACAAACTGGACAGTCTTAAGAGAATCCCCGTCGAGAATTGTTACTCAGAACGATTTATTGCAAAATCCATGAATTCTAGACCGTAAAAGCCGCCCACCCCTAGCTTCCCAGAAGAAACCCCTCTACATGAACCTTCAATTCAATGGAGATTTATCTGGGGAATCACTGAAAAACCGACTGTCGTGTTCACTTAAGAAAACCTTCTTTGTAGCTGAACTACGATCAACCTTCTCCACGAAGTCTATGATTCGTATGAACGTGAAGGACAAGCTACCACTACTGGCCACCTCATCAGTGTGTATCTACCAATTCACCTGCTCTTATGGAGCCAGGTGTGTCGGCCTTACCCAGCGTTCACTGTCCAAACGTATCAACGAACACTTACCGACATGGTTTTACTAAGGAGAAAAACGACGCCCTGCAGCTCTATCTTAGAACATCTGAAAGATTCCGGACACCAAGTTACACCCCAAACAAACTTCATGGTCGTCTACAGAATACTAAGCAGTCTTCTTAAAAGTATACTAGTCAAACGTCTCATAATCGCAGGAGCAATGGCAATTCACTTGCTAAGCCCTGAACTGTGCATACAGAAGAAGTTCGTTCAATCACTAAACTTGCAATGAACGTAATCTCTCCTAATACTCGACCAGTAAATTCTATTTCTTTTTCTCTTTTCATCAGTATTATATTGTACTTACAATTCTAATATTTTACATTTTCAACTTTCCTGTTCTCTACCCCCACCCGATTTAATTTATACAATTCATTATCACTGTTACTGACTTGATCAAAGCTCGATTTCTAGTCACTTATCCCATCCAATTTATTTTTTCAAATTTAGTCCTAATTAAATTGGCATTAGTCTCTACCCCACCTTTACTTTAGTCTATGCCTGTAATTACCTTTGTTTCTGGCCTTACTTAAGTTGAAACATTTTAGTCAATTATATTACGTCATCTCACTGACTAACTCAATCGTACCTTAGTTGCTGTCTAATTAATCTTGTTTCTTCAAGTACTGATAGGTAGTTACCTGGGTTCTAGTTGGAAGTCGTGATCAGTAGGGTGCAGCAGGTCGAGCGTGAAGACAGATACTCGCCAAAGACATTGCCTAGTGGTTGTGCTATATGGTGAATTGTCAGAAGTCGTAATTCATGGGCTAACCATTATATCGGGTCCCAGTGGCTGATGAACGGTCTACGAGCTCGCATTGTAACTGGAATGTTCTGGCTTCGACTCCTGGTGATGGGTGCGTACTGACGAAGAGTCCCAAACTAGGATGGAACAGCTGGCTGTCTAATACTCCATGTGGTTTTCCGATGGTACTTTAACCGGTATCAACTCATGATGACATCCTGTAAATAACCTTGTTTCTATATTAGACCATTCTTGTATTACCTGATTAATTATCTTAACTTGAAAAACCTCAAAAACCACAAAAATAATTATATACAAATGAGATTGTACGGCTATGTGAATGAATTCGCCCAAAAGAGTCTCTAAGCTGAATGTCTTCTCTTTGTCATATATATATTACCAGTCCATTAATTGTCATTTTCAAGAGTTTGGTTTGTAGGGATTAGATTTCTGCATACGAGTTTGACCACGGATTGATATCACTTAAGGAACCATTGAAAATCAGGGAGTAGTGGAGAACTGTCTCATCTTAGTTTGAGAATCATCGGCAGTACGCACCCACCTCAGGGGGGTCGAAATCAGGACCTTCCGGTTACAAGCTAGGCTCGTATACCATTCAGCCACTGGGATTCGACTCAGTGGCCAACCCATAAATTCTAAATTCTATCGATTCGTGATTTAGCACGACCACCAGCCAATGTCGTCTGTGATGCACCCATCCTTACACTTCACTGGATGAACCTCACTGGTCACAACTTCTGACTAGAAGTTCATGAAACTCTGTCCTGTAGCAAGTCACTAGCAAGCATCTCTAGCTAATATCAATCCCTGGTCACACTCGTATAAACAATTCTAATTTATTCGGAGATCTTACACCAATATCAGCTTTTCATGGATGATAATGACTAGAATTAATCAGTATGCTGCAAAGTTATTCAAAACACATAGGATTATTAGTTGACTAGTATTTATATACATTTATTCTAATGTATATGAATAAATTAAGACCAGGTTTTATACAACCAGTCGGCTAATGGTAGCTGGCAGAATAAGACATGTTGCAGTGCTATTCGAAATGCACAAGATGAATGAAATTAACCAACATCTTGCTGGACTATTCAAATACATTAGAACAAATGTGTCCAAACCCTAGATCTCTTATAATTCTATGCTTTTTGAACGACTTAGCAAAATATCGTTTAAAGTTAGATCACGGGATTACAAGTGAACTAAAATACGGAGGTATTCATAAAATGAATAAAGGCCTTTCAAGTATTGGTTTGTAGAGATTTGGTTGATTGGCTTAGTGGTCTACGAGCTCGCCTTGTAACAAAAAAGGTCCTGGGTTCGAACCCCGGTGGGTGCGTCCCAAACTAGGGGCCCCAAACTAGGACGAAACAGTTGTCCAGTACTCAATGGTTTCCCGATGGTTCTCTAA